GTGTAGCGATGATCTCTGATTGGTTGGAACGTGTAGCGATGATCTCTGATTGGTTGGAACGTGTAGCGATGATCTCTGATTGGTTGGAACGTGTAGCGATGATCTCTGATTGGTTGGAACGTGTAGCGATGATCTCTGATTGGTTGGAACGTGTAGCGATGATCTCTGATTGGTTGGAACGTGTAGCGATGATCTCTGATTGGTTGGAATATACAACAATGATCTCTGATTGATTGGCGTGAACATTTGTGCACACTGAATGGTTGAAATGATTGATGTAGGTGATGAATAGTTTTTGATTTTATTAATAATTATAATAGTTTTTTTTTGTCATGCATTTAAACAGTTTGTACGTGTCCTGTGCTCTCTGATAGGTTGTAACCGTGGCTGTGTACAGTTACTTTTTGACTTGTCTGATTGGTCGGCAGTTCCTCGACCCCACCCAGGGTTACCCGGGTCACAACCTGGACTTCTACCTGCCTGTCTTCACCTTACTGCAGTTCTTCTTCTATGTGGTCTGGCTCAAGGTGTGTTATCTTACTAGTGAAGTATCGCATTAGTTAGGTCTCCACTCCACACTCACCGTCCCTAATAACTGGTTTTATCTAATAAAATGACCGTTTAGCTCTAAATAAACATTGCCTAATTATATGGGGTTCAATGCAGCTGACATGACATACACAAAATCTGGTTATACATACAAATTTAGCGAAACACCACTTTAATAATGGTTACATCACACTGATGTAATGCAGCTACATCATATTTAACAAAAGAAGTCAGAAAATAATTGCATTGGTGTGTTTTCAGGTGGCAGAGCAGCTCATTAATCCGTTTGGGGAGGATGATGATGACTTTGAGACAAACTGGCTGGTGGACCGTAATTTACAGGTACATCATCTGCCCCACTAATGACATGTTTCTTGATCTCCTTTGTGTCATTCTGTCTTGTCTTGTTCTGTGGATTTGTGTGTCTGGTTGTACAGTCTCTTGTTAAATGTTCTCCACTTACATGCATCATGGACCAAAATGACTTTTTATCAACATCCTTTGGCAGAAATACAGCATTGCCGTTTTCAGAAATACCCTTGCAGTCACCCATTATTAATTTATTTTGCAACTGAAAATGTCTAATAATACAATATATTATTATAATATGAAAATAGAGTATTTTTAAGTGTAAAAATGATTTAGTGCACATTAAAACATTTTTATACCTGCATCAAATCTTTAGTTTTTTTGTCACATGAGCCAACATTGCAGCATTGCTCAGATGTTAAACATTCATATTTCTTCTTTTTTGTAAGCACCTGTGCTTATACAAACATAAACAGGTGTATCTTTCTCGCAGGTGTCTCTGCTGTCAGTGGATGAGATGTATGATCTGGTTCCTCTGGTTGAGAGAGATAAATACTGGGATGAATCAGAGCCTCAGCCGCCTTACACAGCTGCCAGCGCCGAACACCGCAAACCCTCATTCATGGGATCTGCTTTGGACATCAGGTGACACACACACACACACACACACTTAATACACAACTACAGCACACACATGCACATTTTTGGGTGCACAAACAAAATTTGTAGATTCTCTTCATTCTATAGCCATTAAAGTGGCATGAAAAACACTTCTGCAATGTAACATTAACAACTGAAACAGGATATTCAGCTGAAAAACAGCTTTGATATAAACCTCCTCTATATGTAATTTGTTAACAAGTAACAGTAATTGTAATTTAAGTGATTTTCTTATGTCAAATGTATTTATTTTTCTTATTTAAGGCAGAACATGTGATTAGAGGGAAAAAAATAAACTCGCTGACTGATCAGTACATTAAGATAATTTTTTTGTAATACAAGTTTTCTGAGTTGTTATGTTTAAATATGCAAATTAGGCATCATCTAGTTAAATGTGCACTAATTTGCATTAAATTCCCAGAACAGAAATCTGAACACTGCATGAAGCCAGGTTAAAAATTCTTGTTTCGTTTTGTTGACATATTAGTTTGGAAAGTTTTTACAGAGGGGATTTTGCATATTTCTTTTTATCATTCGATAAATAAGAAAACACTGCCAACAGCCAGTAAACATTTTCACAGTGTTTTTAGGAATTTTATATTATACATTGAATTGTATGTTATATGAATCAGATAATTGAAATATGAACAAACCTCTCTGTAAAAACCTTCAGAAATATATAGGAATAAAACTGTAAAGTTTAGTGTATATAAATGCTGCTGAATTGGAGAAAAACTCCTTTTGAGAAAACCACGTTTAAAGATACGTATGTATTGTAATTGAAATCTACAGACGCAAAATTGGTAAAATAAAATAAACAAAACAAATGAATGTTTTCTTTCCACTAGACATGTTATGGAAGCAAAATAGCCCAAAATAACTAAATTAACCAGTGAAAAAACAATGGTTTTGCATGTAGTGCCTTGCCTTAATTGATTATTATTAAATGTTTGGGTGGGATACAAAACTTAATAGAAACAGAACTGTCAAAAAATGTCTTTTTTTATTTCATGGTGACTTGTTGCATAGATCAGCAAAAATGAGCGAGGCAATATATTCAAGATTTAAAAGCATATATGTGACCCTGGAGCACAAAACCAGTCTGGAGCACAAAACCAGTCTTAAAGAGATAGTTCACCTGAAAATGTGAACCTTTCAAACCCGTAAGACCTTCGTTCATCTTCAGAACACAAATTAAGATATTTTTGATGGAATCTGAGAGCTGACCCTCCCATAGACAGCAACGCAACTGAAATGTTCCCAAGTCCAGAAACGTAGCAAGGAGATCTGTAAAATAATCCATGTGACATCAGGGGTTCATCTGTAATTATACGAAGCTACGAGAATACTTTTTGTCCGCTAAAGGAAAAAAAAACGACTTTATTCAACAATTCGTCTCCCCGCATCACCCTGGTGCCATTCTGGAGAATATCCACTGGACGGAAACAACGTATGCTGTTCTGTGTCAGCTGCGTCACGCCGGATCTGTTTCCTGCGTTGTTGTGATTTGATCTGAACGGAAACAGTGTATCCGTGTCCATCAAAAATATCTTAATTTGTGTTCCGAAGATCAACGAAGGTCTTACGGGTTTGAAACGACATGAGGGTGAGTAATTAATGACAGAATTTTCATTTTTGGGTGAAAACTTTTATGCCAAAAATCATTAGGATATTATGTAAAGATCATGTTCCATGACGATATTTAGTAAATGTCTTACCGTAAATATATCAAAACATAATATGCATTGCTAAGAACTTCATTTGGACAACTTTAAAGATGATTTTCTCAATATTTAGATTTTTTTTGCACCCTCAGATTCCAGATTTTCAAATAGATGTTATCACGGCCAAATATTGTCCGATCCTAACAAACCATACATCAATGGAAAGCTTATTTATTCAGCTTTCAGATGATGTATAAATCTCAATTTCCAAAAATGGACCCTTATGACTGGTTTTGAGGTCCAGGGTCACATTTGGTCTTACAGAAGATCCTCAAGGTCAGTTGTGGGATAAAAACAAGGTCACCGTTCTCTCTCTGTCTCTCAGCGTTCCCAAAGAGGAAATGGAATTCCAGCACAATCTGGAGCAGATTAAAGAACATGAGGAGGCCAATCATTCCACTCCATTCCTGGGCAGCTTGAGTCGCATTCTGGGTGTCCAGTCGCCCAATTTCTCCCGCCCGACACCCACGTCCCGAGTCTCCCTCCTGCGGCGGCGTCCCCGCGCCCCCTTCTCTCGTTTCCCCCTTTACCTCCATCCCGAGAACTCTCCGATGCCCAGCCACGCCCGGAATGCTGACATAGAGGATGCGTTCTCATCCATGCCTCTATACGAAAGACCCGGTTTCTACAGTTGCCCTCAGACGCCCATCCACTGCGTCCCTCCGTCCATTCCTCGCCCAAGGCTGCGAAGAGCGCACGGCGACAGCTCCAGCTCCCTGGCGCATCCCCTGGTGGGCTCGCCAGTCCTGTCTACACCTGACACGCCCGCGCCTCCGTCCTCCGCCTTCCCTTGGGTGGGCGAAGACAGTGAACATTCGGGTCCCGCTTTCTGCTTTCCGGACCCTGTGCCTGAGCTGTTACCCAAAGTATGGCCAAGTCAAGGGTTGCCGTCGCGTCGGCCCCTGCCTCTACGACTCTCTTTGGACACGTCGCCATCTCCGTCTACACCCGAAAGGGTGTTTTCTTTCACCCCTCCATCTTGGCCGCAAGCTCAAATCCACACTGCCAGTTCAGGGAGTGTGAATGTGACCGCAGCGACAAACAGCAACAGTAACCTGTGCAACGGGGCAGCAAATAATCCCTGGCCAATCAGCAGAAGCACCACTGCAAGCACAGCCAATCCTGTCAGCACCAGCCCCACAGCGACTCAGCAGACAGCCAATCAGCACAACTCTGCCAACGACTCTGGCATCTCATTGGCTGAGGGGGATCTGTTGGGTGCTGTGGTGAAAATGAGGGAACAGCTCTGAGTTAGGTGGAAAATACCAGCTTAGACCAGCATGAATTCTCTTCCAGACTGGTTTAGAGCTGATCCAACAGGTTAAGATCTTTGCCTTGGGTGAGTGAAGGTAGTGAACATTCGGGTCCTGCTTTCTTCTTTCCGGACCCTGTTTTTGAACTGTTACCTAAAGTACGCCACAGTCAAGGGTTGCCATTGCACCTGGACACGTCCTCATCTCTGTCTACACCAGAGAGGGTGCTTTCATCACCCCTCAACACCGCCAGATCAGAACCCGGGAATGTGGCCGTGACGTCAAACAGCAACACTTACCTGTGCAACAACACCTAGCCAATCCGCAGAAGCACCACTGCAAGCACAGCCAATCCTGTCAGCCCAAGCCTCACGGCGACTCAGCAGACAGCCAATCAGCACAACTCTGCCAATGACTCTGGCATCTCATTGGCTGAGGGGGATCTGTTGGGTGCTACAGTGAAAATGAAGGAACAGCTGGAAAATATACCAGCTTAGACCTGAATTCTCTAGGTCGGACTGATTTAGAGCTGGTCCAGCATGTTTTTGTCTACATTTAAGACATTTTAAGAAACCTCAGTATCAAAAACCTTTCTGGGGTTCTCAGAAGCGGAAGTCGTCGTAAACTTCTACAGTGGTCAACATAAATTCTCATTTGCCCCAACAGCAAAAAAAAAAAAAAAAAAAAGAATCCATGGTAGACTTTCTGACATTCCAAAAGAGGAAAAAATATTGAGAGATTAATTACGCTGGCCAGATGTGAGAAAGATGCCAAACTGCCTTCACTCCCTTAGCTGTTGTGTTAGAAACACTCATGCAGAAACGACTTTTATGTAAGTTAATGGAAAGGTAATAAAACACAAAGTATAGTCCTTTTTACAAAATACTAAATATTATATATATGTATAACTTTGCTAGATTTATGATGTTAATAACTGTGGAAACGTCATCACAGTCAGTGAATAAGGTCCATGAATTATAACATGCATAATTTGATCAGTTCCATCAATCAAACTGATCATTTCACTTTCCGGTCATCGTTATTTTTTTATTATACTGCTGTACAGTATGTAACTCGTATAAATCAGTAAAATCACTTCTTGATCTCCACTGTCACTCTCATTGCATAAACAATGTTGCAGAATATTTATAAAAATTATAAAACAAATGATATCAAAGAAAAGGTCCAGATCCACACAAAGATCCTGGTGCAGAACAAACCTCCCAAACACAGTGCATCATGGGACTGTAACTGAATTAAACTCTTTTGTACCAAGCTGCGCACTTTACACTAATTCTTCTCAGAATGAGGTGAACGGAGGGTAAAATCAAAGCCCAGTTTAATCTTGCCTTGATTTACTGCAGAATATTTATAGTCAGCATGCATTTGTTTAACATGTTTGACATCATTATTCAAGCCACTCAGCAGGTACATCAAATGCATTTCTTCTTTATCTGTATATATAAAGAGAAGATATTATGGTACGTACCTGATGGAAAATAGAGTTTAGTTTTGCAGTGCATTCACATCTAGATTCTTAAATACTTTATATAAACTATTGGAATTTTCATGACTTTCTAGGCCTGTGTGATTAATAATATGAGTTTTTATTCATATTTTAAAGTTTTATTTTTATGTATTGTCCATTTTAATTTTAGATTAGGTTTTAGTAATTCTAGATTTTTTTTTCTGGCTCTCTTTCACTTAGTCAGGAAATGCTTTATGAATTATGCATCTATTCTTAAATAATTGATGTATAGGTATTTTCATGAATCTTCTAGTGTTGTTTTAGCATCCTAAATATACTATAATCGTTTTTTGAATTAGTATTTATTTTTATGTTTTCCATTTTAATTTGACTAAGTTTTAGTAATTTTGTGCGTTTGGTCTAGATTTTATTTT